CAATAGGCGGCCGGGCGTGGTGCTGCCACCACCAGATCCTACAACACCACCACCAGATCCTACAACGCCACCACCAGATCCTACAACGCTACCACCAGAATCCTACAACGCCACCACCAGCTCCAACAACGCCACCAGCAGATCCTACAACGCCACCACCAGATCCTACAACGCTACCACCAGAATCCTACAATGCCACCACCAGATCCTACAATGCCACCACCAGGTCCTACAGTGACATCACAAGATCCTACAGTGACATCCCCAGATCCTACAATACCACCACCTGATCCTACAATGCCACCACCAGAATCCTACAGTGACATCACCAGATCCTACAACGCCACCACCAGATCCTACAACGCCACCACCAGATCCTACAGTGACATCACCAGATCCTATAACGCCACCACCAGATCCTACAACGCCACCACCAGCTCCTACAGTGACATCACCAGATCCTACAGTGACATCACCAGCTCCAACAGTGACATTACCAGATTCTACAGTGACATCACCAGATCCTACAACGCCACCACCAGATCCTACAGCGCCACCATCAGCTCCAACAGTGACATCACCAGCTCCAACAGTGACATCGCCAGCTCCAACAGTGACATCACCAGCTCCTACAGTGACATCACCGGCACCAACAGCGCCACCGCCAGCTCCAACAGTGACATCACCAGCTCCAACAGTGACATCACCAGCTCCAACAGTGACATCACCATCTCCAACAGCGCCACCACCAGCTCCAACAGTGACATCACCAGCTCTAACAGTGACATCACCAGCTCCAACAGCGCCACCGCCAGCTCCAACAGTGACATCACCATCTCCAACAGCGCCACCACCAGCTCCAACAGTGACATCACCAGCTCTAACAGTGACATCACCAGCTCCAACAGCGCCACCACCATCTCCAACAGTGACATTACCAGCTCCACAGCGCCACCACCAGCTCCAACAGTGACATCATAAGCTCCAACAGTGACATCACCAGCTCCAACAGCACCACCACCAGCTCCAACAGTGACATCACCAGCTCCAACAGTGACATCACCAGCTCCAACAGTGACATCATCAGCTGCAACAGCGCCACTTCCAGCTCCAACAGTGACATCACCAGCTCCAACAGTGACATCACCAGCTCCAACAGTGACATCACTAGCTCCAACAGTGACATCACCAGCTCCAACAGCGCCACCGCCAGCTCCAACAGTGACATCACCAGCTCCAACAGCCACCGCCAGCTCCAACAATGATATCACCAGCTCCAACAGTGACATCACCAGCTCCAACAGTGACATCACCAGCTCCAACAGCGCCACCGCCAGCTCCAACAGTGACATCACCAGCTCCAACAGTGATATCACCAGCTCCAACAGTGACATCACCAGCTCCAACAGCGCCACCGCCAGCTCCAACAGTGACATCACCAGCTCCAACAGTGACATCACCAGCTCCAACAGCGCCACCGCCAGCTCCAACAGTGACATCACCAGCTCCAACAGTGACATCACCAGCTCCAACAGTGACATCGCCAGCTACAACAGCGACATCACCAGCTCCAACAGCGCCACCACCAGCTCCAACAGTGACATCACCAGCTCCAACAGTGACATCACGTCGGCAGGCAAATTTGAATTGGCCGCAAGGCTTATTTCAAGTGCGTAAAAGTTTTCCGTATTTCGTCATTGCCTTAGCACCCCATAAACGCAGGGGTGGGGAACCTTTTTTCTGCCAAGGGCCATTTGGATATTTATGCAACATCATTCGCGGGCCATACAAAATTATCAACTTAAAAATTAGCCCGTTTATATTCGGTCAAACATTTTAATTGACTCGCCCCCCTAATGCGATGGGCTGGAACCGCTTCTCTTTGGCGAGGTTTGGTGATGATGTTAGCTCGCTATTGATGACGATGTTGTTATAGAAATAGGTTTTGCCCATTTTAACTGGCACAAAACACAAGCAGTCAAAATGCATTTTGACTGCTTGTGTTGTGGTTATTGCAAACATGATGCCTTGAATAAAGGTGTCAGTTTTTGTGCCAGTTAAAAGGGTAAACCCTATTTCTATGTCTTGTTACTGGCAAAGGAGGTCTCATAATGACGATGTTGTTGTCGCTACTCGCAACTGCTTTTCCAGGTTTTGCTCTCCTAGATTTATTGATTTTCGAGTCCCGCCTGCGCTTGCCTTGGCAGGGCCAGAGACCAAATTATTTCGCGGGCCCTATACGGCCCACGGGCCGGACGTTCCCCACCCCTGCCCTAAGGGGCCGTCCATAAATGACGTCACGCACCTAGGAGGGGGGGGGGGGTCAGACATTTGTGACGATGTGTGACGAGGTGGGGGGGGCAGGGGTTTGAGAAATGTGACGTCACATCAAAATGCGCAACTTTATGAATAAATATAGACAACACGTTCTACTTAATTACATAGACTTTTAAAATAAATGTTTTCTCCTGCAACATCAGAGTGCAGCGCCACATTAAATACGCACTACAATGACAATAGTTTAAAGCGATTTGAAGCATGTTTTATTTTCTTTGGGGGGGGGGGGCAGAGCTTTGTGACGTCATATTTGAGGGGGGGGTCTGACTTTTTGTGACGTCGTGTGACGAAGGGGTGGGGGGGGGGGGGAGTCAAAAATCGTCCAAAATCGCGTGACGTCATTTATGGACGGCCCCTAAAGGAATGTAGTGGAGCGGGCCCGGTGTCGGGTGGAGCCGGTCTGTCTGGGTAATTAATCATAATAATAATACTATCAATGCATGTTTGTGGCAGTCAGAGTGATAGTTTTTGGGGGCATGGTGTCTCTTGATTGAGGAGCGGCGAGGGGGTGGCTTTGTGCGAAAAGTATTTGCAGGTGTGCGTGGGATTAGGCCGCCTCTGGAGCACGAGGGATTGGTCTCACGCCGTGCTAATTAACTTCTAAACGTAACACGTGCACACAGCTGCACATTCAAAATGGCCAAGGTCTCGTGTGTGAACCTTAACAGGTTGCTTGCGCAAGTGCTGTTGGTAGCGGGCAGCAGCAGCAGCAGCTACGACACTGTGGCACACCAGGGGGTGGGTGGCCAGCACCACGCCCGACCGCCTTTGTCTCCCCAGTGGCCACACAACAACAACAACCGCCATTCGCCGCTAAGTGGCGGTGACGTCACCACGACGCTTCTGCCAGGCCACGTGCACCTTGAGGCCACGTGAAGTGTCGAACGCCCGCTGGCAGGAGGTCACGGGGCAGACCCAGGTGCCACGGGTCGACTGACTGAGATGACCGAGATGACTGGCTGATGCACCACCTGTGCCCCCTACTGTGCCAACCTGCTGTGCCTTAGCCACCCGGCGCTCCGCTCGTTGTTGTGAGCGTCGCTCCTCCGCCCTCCGTTGTTGTTGGAGGGCGACTACCTCCAACTGCCCAGTAGCGTCCTTCACGAGCCTCCTCCACAGAGGCCGATCTTGGCACCGCTGGTACCAGTCATCGGCAAGTCCACTCAGCTACACGTCCTCCTGGACCACATCACTCCCAAACGCACACACTCTCAAACACACACACGCGCCTACACGAACAAAATACAAATATCCCCTGGTGAAGCCTTGACAGACCGTTCGGGGTAAAAATATATTTAATCAACACATTTTATTACGGGCAGTGTGTATACGCTTCATTGCTCATTTTATTCTCTCAGAAGGCTTGCGCGGAGCTTTCGGACGGCGTTTCTGCGGCCGTCTGGAACGCTCTTCCCCTAACGTCGCAGTGCCGGATGATCCTAGCAGCAAAAGTAACTACATGTGTAGCTACGGGCCCCGCGCGAAACGCTTTCAAGCTATCAATTCCGGTTCGGTGATTCTGCACTTGCTCCATTACTATAGAACTATACCACCTTCGACTTTTACGAACGACTGAGATGTTTAAGGTCAGCGATTTCTATCATCTGGCCGTATAGCAAGTGAGAAAAAAATTACAATTACTTTACTTTGCGGGTTAATTTGTGTTTAATATTCACGCAAGTGTGTTTTTTTGTTTGTGTTTTCATTCGGGGTCCCCTTTTATACCACATGCTACAGACCGCGCCCGCGCTAGCCTCATCCGGCGCTGCTCCGTCATGGCCAGTGCTTGTCTTTGCTCTTCCCTTTTCCAATCTCGAGAAGCGACTGCAGTTCAGTCGGAGTGGCGCGCGTAGTCTTGCTAACCCCCCCATCTCCCACCCTTATCTGCCATCGTCAATTGCCACGCACATTGCCTGCGCAATCGTCCGTATCGTTTCTCATCCCGTCTGACTTTGTCCCACTTGTTCCTCCGTGCCGGTCATCGCCGCATCGCGCGGCGCTTTACGGATGCGCTTCCGCGGCCGGTCTGGAACGCACCCTTCCTTCCCGATCTTGGCCTGCACCCCAGCTCGGTGGGAGGTCGCCGGTTCGATCCCGAACCTTGACGCCTGCTGGATATTTTGAGGTTTGCGGTTTGTCGCTCTGTCTCTCTCTCTCTCTCGTCAAACACTCCAAATTTACAACGGGCGTCGCTCGGGGTCGGGATTGAACAAGCGAACTCGTGCATACCAGGCGAGGTAGTTAACATCTCCTAGCCACCGTGACGATGATGGAAGAGGCACGCAGACTCCAAATATGCAGCAGCAGGCGTTCCTCAGGGTCGGGATCGAACCCAGGACCTCCTGTATACCTGGCGAGGTAGTTGACGTCTCCTAGCCACCGTAAATTTCGAGGGACGTTGCTCTCACGGTACAGACCTCGTCGGCGTGAGAGCAGAGAGAGCGCGAAGACTTTGCGAGCCTCCCTCCTCCTCATTCCCCCCCCCTCCTCCCCTCTCCCTCCATGTCTCGTCTCCCCCTCCTCTTCCTGCTCCCCCCACTCCTCATTCCTTCCGCCCCTCCTCCTCCCCCCCACTCCACACGCCTCGCCCACTCCTCTTCCTCCTTATGCCTCCCCCACTCTTCCCCCCCCACCACTCCTCCTTATTCCTCCCTCTCCCCTCCCCCCACTCCACACGCCTCCCCCCACTCCTCGCACGCTCAGGCGATGGGAGGGCGTCCGAGGGCGCGCACGCGGTACTGGGGCGGCACGTGGATGAACGTCTCCCGGCTCGTGGGCGCGGGAGCCGGGCAGCCGGGCGGAGGGGTGAAGGTGAACGCGTGCAGCAGGGACGAGAAGAAGACGAAGAGCTCCGTCCTGGCCAGAGACTCTCCGAGGCACAGACGGCGACCTGGCGAGGTCGCGGGGGTGGGAGGGGAGAGATAGCACGGGAAGCGCTTCGGATCGGCGTCGGTTCATGTTTCTGGTAAACACTGCGAGCTCAAAAGCTGTGGGACGTCGGGTTTCATCGACGAAAGCATCGGTTCCCTGGGCAAAGCGTCACGTACAAAATGCATAACGAAGGTTTTTTTGGGGGGTTGGATCGTGTATAAATGTCGTATCTTAACCTTAAAGCTTTCGTGACTGCAGACATTTCATATTCTTTGGGTCTTTCGGTAAAGCCACGTAGATATCAAAAATAAGAAAAAAATATCACGACGTTTCAATCGCAATACAAGTGTTGGTGGTGGTGGTGTTGACACGCGAGCACACCGGCGCCGGCTAACTCCCAGTACTTACCTGTGCGGGGCGGTTGTGACACACCCCTAGCCGGGACCTCTCTCGAGGGGAGGGCGATGTGGTGCTGGGATCCCACAGAACCCCCGCCCCTCGGTGGATAAAATCGTATAAAAGAAGGGAGCTCAAGAGCGAGAGGGCAGTTGGGAACGAGTCAAGAAGAAAAAGAACCAGTTGAAGACTGAAGACCCGCTAGCCAGACCCTGGGACTCCTCTGGATCGCTGCCCTTCTAAGAGCCGGCCAGAGCAAGCCAGTGGTGCGGCCCCAGAGCCGCGAAGGTCGATGTCCTTGTAAGGGCCGAATTCGTGTGGCTGGTGGTCGGGACCTGTGCGTTGGCTGGCCAGATCAGATAGTCTCCTTGAGAGGAGGGGCGTGAGGATAGGTGTTAGCTAGCCTGGGAATACTTCCCATAAGAGAACGGGTGAAGGGGCCGCTACCTCTTCAAGTATAAGCTGTACCTCCCCAAGTATTAATAAACGTGGGTTGCCTCAAGTCCGACCGTCCCTGTCATCACTACACAAGCACTCGTCATCAGGTGAAGAACTTTTTTTCACGTCCAAACGTGATAATTTTATTTTTTTTCTACGTGGCTTTCCCGAAAGACCCAAAGACTAAAAATGCTGTGTCGTACCCCTCCGCCACCCGACGCGGCCAGTAAGATTTTGTCACGTAAGCAACGCACCAATTAGTTACTACTTCAGCCCAGCGATGTGTTGTCGAGAGGAACGCGAGCGTCGCTCTAACGTGGATTTCCAATCGCGCACTCTCAGCCCCAGCAAGCAAACCCAATGATCGTTCGCCCACTCGCGGCAGCCGCAATGTACCTGCGGAGAAGGGCATGAAGGCCTCGCACTGTCGAAACCGCCCGGCGGCATCGAGGAAGTGCCCCGGGTTAAAGTCGTCGGGCGTCTCCCACATGGTGGGGTCCTTGAGCACACTGCCCAGCACGGGGATCACCTGCGTTCCCTGTAGAGACAGGGTGGCGGGTCCCCGCGGACATTTGGTGACATCACATTAGTAAAAGCGCATGTTAAAAAATAGCAATCGAAGGCACGTGACATGCAGTGGGAGTTCATACTCTTTGGATCTTTCGGTAGAGTCACGTAGAGCTATTTCCTTTTTTTAACTACGACATTTTCGATCGCAACGATAGTTTGCAAAACGAGAAAAATTGTCCTACGTGACTTTACCGAAAGGCCCAAAGAATATGAATTACTGCAGTCACGAAAGCGTCGAGATGCAGTGGGAGCTTTCGCGACCAATATTACTCGCAATAGAGGTTTTTTTGTTTTTTGGTTGTGTCAGATCAAGTTCGTATCAAAATGCGTCGGTGAAGCCACCGAACCGACACGGCCATTCGGCAAAAGGTTTGTGTTGCGTGAACGAAACGTGGCCAATTCGTTACGAGTAGAGCACAAGCCGGTTGTGTGTTGGAGCGTAAACCCACTAACAACATTGTCCAATTCGAGCAATTACTGGCGAAATGTCGTGCTTTTGAGGTTTGAGATTTCCGAAGCCTCTGTCAATCTGATTACATGGGTCTTCAGGCGGGCGGGGGGGGGGGCCTTCATAGGTGCTGCTACTTCCCAGCAGCACTTGCCCCAGCAGTCTGTTAAGGCTACACGGGGGATCTTTGTCTTCCTCGCCACTGGCAGTAAGGTTGTAAAACTGCCTGAACAATTCAAATAATATTAGTTTGGGTCTTTCGGTAAAGTCACGTAGAATATGAATTGCTGCAGTCACTAAAGCTTTAAGTCAATATTTAATTCGAGTACTTTGTTGTGTTGCACATTTCCATGGATTATCCGTTGAGTCTGCGGCAGAAGTTCAACATTTCGTATGTTGCTGGCGTGTGTGTATGCACTTCTTTAGCACCGTATGCAGCCAACCACGCTAATGGGAGGTGCAGGAGGAAGCACAGCAAACTAAACACAACAACAACAACAACAAGTGGCCGCGTCGTCGTCACGTGCAAATTTATAGCAGCAACAACCCTGCGGAGAAGGGCGCAAAGAGCCGAGATCCGTCGAGGAAGTGCCCCGCCGGTGCTGAAGGTCCCAACGGGCGCATACCCACGCAGACGGCCGGCCCCAGTCGGGCGCACTGCACAGCAACGGCCGGGGAGGGGGGCGGGGGCACGAACCGCGTTCCAACAAACTCCCAACGCCAGAAAGCACCCCGACGGTTCCGGACACCTGGGAGCGGGGGGGGGGGGGGGAGCTCCCGCCGCCTCACCTTGGGGATGAGGTAACCGCGGAAGGTGGTGTCGCTCGGCGTGGCGTGCGGGAAGCTGTAGGGCAGCATGTTGGCGTAGCGCTGCACCTCGTGAACCACGGCGTTGGTGAAGGGCAGCGAAGTGTGGTCGGCGTAGGCAGGCATCCGGTGGCGGCCCACGACGCTGTCAATCTCCTCCTGGACGCGCCCTAAAGCGCCGGTCGCGAGCGAGCACGTGGAGAAGGGGGGGGGGGGGGGGGGGGGGTTAGCCAGACCTGGCCGAGGTGGCTCAAGTAGTGATTTTGTAAACCGTCGACTCAAAAGGATCCTCCATAAGAAACCCTCCACCACCTGGCACGGCCAATCGGTAAGGGATTTGTCACATAAACAAAACGCCAAATAGTTGCTAGTGTAGTGTGTAGTGTATTTTACTACTTCAGCCCACCGGCGTGGTTGAAGAGCGAATCCACAACATTTACAATTTGAGTAGCACGACGTTTCGCTAGTAATTACATCCGGCATCATCGGGCAATTTGCCACAATTGTAGTAACTATTTGGCGTTTTGTTTACGTGACAAATCCCTTACCGATCAATTGGTCGTGTCGGGTGGTGGAGGGTTTAGACATATTTTCGCGATCTAACGCAAAAACTTTAAGAACTAGCGGGAAGTATCCAGCGTTGCCCGGGTCTTAAAATATGTCAAAACTACTCTTAAAACTGTAACAGCAGTGCGTACTAACTGTGGTGGTACCTGCTATGATTACAGCAGTGCATACTAACTGTGGTGGTACCTGGCATGCACCGTAGATCATAGCGACTGTGGTGGTACCTGCTATCACTACAGTAGTACATGCTGACTCTATAGCAGTATTTATCGACTGTATAGCACAAAGTACTCGCCTGACAGAGTGGCGTGGTGAGGCCTAGTCCCATGCAGAGCCTCCAGCCTCGCCTAGATTGTCCAGCCGGCCAAGGTGGCACCTTGGCAGGCTGGGCTGCTACCTCCAACCCCTCCCCACCAGTCACAATCTCCCCGGCCGCTCTGCAGTAATATTTGCGGCCTATAGTGGTAGCATCTAGCGACTGTATAGCAGTATTAACTGCATGCATCAGGGTGGGGGGGGACATCATACAGTGAAGAATTTACCTGAGCGTTTAGTGTCATTTTATAGCATTTTTTACGCGAAAGAAAATGTCGCCCTCACTCCCACTTGGCATGGGCCGTCTCCCCCACCAAAGGCGCGTGAGCTGGTATGGACGTGCACGCGTCACAAATAAATTAAAAGGGAAGTGCACACAAATCGCTAATTAAACTAATTTAACGTTTACGGATGTGAAAAAGGAATAGCGCTTGCTCACCGCGGGGCTTACAGCATGGTACCTGGCTATTTTCTTTTAGGTAAACCCCACCGTTGGAGAGCCAACCGTGCGAACACACACAAACCCCGCCACAAACCCACACGCAATTTTTGACTTTTATATAGATAGATACTATTGGTCGTGAAAGCCTACTAAGTGTTAAAACGACTGAACTCTCTCACCCACGTGGTGGTCACGTGGGGGTTTTCCTCCAGGTCCTCCGGTTTGCTTTTTTGTTCCCTCCCCTTCTCCGTTTAGAATCAACAACAACAACAACACGCGTTCTAAGAGTTACTTGGCTGCGGCTATGAATCTCCACGTGATGATGATGAGCCACTTCGTTGAGCTGTTAGTGTGTGATGGCCAGGTCCCTTCTGAACAAATATCTACCTCGTAGCTCATTGGGCCTTACCTGGTAAAATAAAATAGTTTAGTTTTAGTCTGTGGGTCTCTATGTATCTTTTTATGGGTCTCTATGCATCTCTGTGGGTCTCTGTGTCTCTATATTAATTGGATGCTACTATAAATCTCAACGTGATGATGATAAGCCCCTGCGTTGAGCTGTCATTCTGTGATGGCCAGGTCGCTTTTGGAAAAATATGTACGGAGAGGCTCCGTGTTGGCCAATCGGTTTCAAAGACAATGCGTGGCATGTTTACCACAAGTACCGTTTTGTGGCTGATGCAGCACTCAATTCCTTTTTGGTGCTTGAACATCCCGAAACAACTCCCGTTTCGTTCCCGGCGAGGGTAAAAGCCCATTCTCGTTTGTCACGAGTGAGAATGGCGCTTGAATATCGCGAGAGAGAGAGGGATACATTTTTCAAACGGGTACCTTTCCGCGTAGGCTTTCGCGACCAATATCATGGGAGGTTTTTTTTATTGTTCGGGTTCGATCGTGTAAATGTGTCGTTAAAACCCGCCACCACCCAACACAGCCAACTCATTAATCCCCCCCGCCCCTCACCCACAGTGTGCAAGACTGCAGAAGCGTGGTCACCACATCTACGCCTCTATATAAAGGAACAAAACGGGTGGAGTTGTCCACAGATGTGGCCGTCGCCTGATGAAGCCGGTTGTAAATTACTGGCGAAACGTGACGGTACTCAGATTGTAAATGTTGTGGCTTGGCTCTCCAACACACAACCGGTGTCGTTGCTGTACTAGTATACTACACTACACACTACACACTAGTTCTGTGCTAGTATACTACACTATACACTAGTTCTGTGCTAGTATACTACACTACACACTAGTGCTGTACTAGTGACGAATTGGCCACGTTCTGTTTACGTGACAACCCTGACTAGTTGGCTGTGTCGGGTGGTGGCGGGTTTTAACGACACAGCATTTATATATTTACGCGATCTAACACAATATTTAGTCTTGGTTCTTTCAGTAAAGTCAAGCAGATAGAGACATTTTTTTAAAGTAAAATAAATATTATTTTCAATTTGTTATTTCTTTGTTCCGTGACTTTACCGAACGAGCAAACAATAACGAATTCCTGCAGTCGCGAAAGTTTTAAGTAAAAAATCCAAAAACCTTTTTAGATGAAATCTTGATTTGAAGCTTTCTTGACTGCAGGAATCCATACGCTTTGGTTCTTTCGGTAATGCCAGGTAGGTATAAAATAAAGTAAATCACGACGTTTTTAACGCAACACAAGCGTCCGTTATGATTTTTCGCCTGATGATGGATGCTTGTGTTGCGTTTTGAAACGTCGTGATTTACTTAATTGAATTTTCTACCTACGTGGCTTTACCGAAAGAACCGAAGAGTAGATTCGAAGCTTTCGTGACCACAGGAATTACTCTTTGGTTCTTGTGTTTGCAATTGAAACGACGCATTCTGTTATTATTTAATTTCTTTCTACGTGACTTTACCGAAAGAACCAAAGAGTACTTTCACGATGAGTTCTCGGTCTCCCTGCGCGAGTCACTCACGCTGCGTATCGGGGTGGTGCATCATGAGGAGCAGGGCCCAGCGGAGAGACACGTACAGGGTCTCCGTGCCGGCCATGAACAAGCTGACCGTGCAGGCGATGAGCGACTTGGCGTGGAAGGGGCTGTCCGGGTTGGTCGACTCCTGTTCGACACGAGGAGCAATTTTTGAAAACCTTTTAGTTAGATTAACTATTAACCCCCCCCCCCCCCCCCGCCCACTTTCTATAACCTTTTGATTTGGGAGTTCTGTAAGCCTCTTATAATTTTGTTGACGGACAAACGGAACGCCGGGCATTCACATTAGCTTACTATTTGTGTATGTATACGTTAGGTTTTTAAGAGCAGGCAAGTTTTTTTGAAATATATTTTCCCCCCGGGCAAAGCCGGGTACTTTGTTAATAATAAAGAGGTAAAATTTTAATTTAAAGCTTTCGTGACTGCAGGGATTGATATTCTTGGTTCTTTCGGTAAAGTCACCACCACGTACAAGGGAAACAATAAAATAATAAAAATATTAAAAAATAAAATTTTCACGACGTTTCGACTGCAACACAAGCAATTATCATAAGGCGTGAAAACCACAACAAGAAAATTTGAAATGTTTTTTGATTGTTTTATATTTTTATTATTTTATTGTTTCCCTACTACGTGGTGACTTTACCAAAAGAACCAAGAATATGTTGTTGGTATTGTTGTTGTTATTCTTGGTTCTTTCGGTAATTGATTGTTCACACTTACGGTGGCTTTCAGACCGCATCCATTATTTTCGTCTCCCCCCTCCTCTTTTCCGAACATAGATGGACTCGTCCATCTGAATAAACTGTCAAATCGCTCTCCGTGGTGCGAACGTAAAAAATAACCGCCACTTTTTTCAAAATTTTTTGCTGTGGTTTTCACACCTGATGATGATTGCTTGTGTTGCAGTCGAAACGTCGTGATAATTTTATTGTTTTATATTTTTATTATTTTATTGTTTCCCTTCTACGTGGCGACTTTACCGAAAGAACCAAGAATAATAAAGAGGTTGTTTTTTCGTTTGTTTCTTGGGTTTAGATTGCGTGAAATAAAATGTTGTGTTGTCGTTAAACCCACCACCACCACCACGACATAGCCCAGTCGATTAAGAGGTTTGTGTCGCGTCAATACAAACGCGGCCGCTTAATTAACTAGTTTCAGCACACGCCAACCCGTTATGTGTGTGCATTGGGAGAGTAAAACCCACAACGCACCGTTTACAAACTCGAGTAGCCGTGACGTTGCGCCGGTAATTGCAACAACCAGCAGCAACAATAGCAACAACCAGCATCATCAACAACAACAACAACAACCAAGTAATCATCAGGCGACAGCCGAAGAGTTTGTAAGAGACATTGCCCACGAAACGCCGGCTCGGGTGAAACGGGAACGCGAATCTTTAATTTACGGGGACTGGATTAATCCGATGCGCTACGGGGAGCCCCTTTGTTATTTATCTTTCTAACTTTAACAGATTGGTCCACCCAGGAGGTACGGGGGTCTCGGAAGGTCACAACAACAATACACAATACGCAGAAAATGTCAGGAGTGCAAATTATAAGAAAGGTAAGCAAATCACGATTAATTAGCTTAAATTTAACTTTTTTTAACGTGACCCAGGTTAGGCCCACTGAGCTGTATGGCGATATCACAAATGCTAGCAGCACGACAAAGTGGCGTATCATCATCATGATGACCGTATGGCAATGTATCCCAATAGCCGAATACTCTAAATGCGTGGTGCTGATTATTAATCTGGTGGTAAAAACCGGCGGACCCGGAGGAAAATCCACGCAGCAACCACGGGGAGAGAGAGAAATGCAGGCGTCATGGTCAGGATCGAACCCACGACCTCCTGCACGCCAGGCGAGGTAGTCAACATCTCTTAGCCACCGTGATTATGATGAGAGAGAGAGAGAGACACGCAAACTCCAAATATGCAGCAGCAGGCGTCAGGGTCGGGATCGAACCCACGACCTCCTGTACACCAAGCGAGGTAGTCAACATCTCCTAGCCACCGTGATGATGATGAGAGAGAGAGAGAGAGAGACACGCAAACTCCAAAAATGCAGCAGCAGGCGTCATGGTCGGGATCGAACCCACGACCTCCTGTACGCCAGGCGAGGTAGTCAACATCTCCTAGCCACCGTGATGATGATGAGAGAGAGAGACACGCAAACTCCAAAAATGCAGCAGCAGGCATCATGGTCGGGATCGAACCCACGACCTCCTGTACGCCAGGCGAGGTAGTCAACATCTCCTAGCCACCGTGGTGCCCTCCCTACCTGCTGCTGTTTGTCCATGAACGCGTCGATGTAGTCGCGCGGCTGCTCGGCGACCCACGTCGTCTTGTGGTTGTCGATGATCATCTGGATGTGCTCTATGAGCAGCCTCTTCTTCTCGAATAGCAGGTTGTGTGTGCCTGGCAGGTGCTTCATCACCGACGGGAAGGAGTTGTACAGCTGCCGAGCCACAAGCGGCACAGGTCGGGGGGAGGAACGGGGGGGGGGGGGGGATAATCAGTGCAACACCGTCTGGGAAAATGTTATGGTCAAAAAAACTAAAAACATCATTGGGATGATTCTATATTTCCGCACACGGTTTGGCTACGTACCGTGGGAAAGAAGTTCAACATACATACCCACATAACCACCAACACCACCATCACCACCACCACCACCACCGCCACCATCACCACCACCACCATCACCTCCGATCAACGTACGTACGAGGCACTGGTGACACACTCACTTATGCGTTGCTGCTAATTTACATCCACCCCATTAAACGTGGCTGTTGGCTGTTAGAAAAAGAGGCTGAATATGCCCCCCAACCGTCAAACTTTGAATTGCACCCTGTGTGTGTGTGGTGTATGGTGTAGTGTATGTAGAACTTCTTTCGCACCATACGTAGCCAACCGCGCTAATCGGAGGTGCTGGGGGGAGGGGGGGACAACGACACACTAAACACAACAACAAGAATCAGTTCTAAAGAAATTAGTTTGTCAAACTAGATGATGTAAAAGTGCAGCGTAGCTCCCAGCGGCTTCCTAATAATCGGAAGGGGAAGAGCGTTCCAGACGGCCGCAGCAGCGCGTCTGAGAGCGCGGCACAATGACGCGGTGACCGCTACCTTGAAAGTCCAAAGTAAGAAAAAAAAAACTCTCCCACTAAATGTTGGGAGTGGAAAAGTGCGTGACAGCGAGTTATAGAAATGAGAATCTTCTTTTCAGAATCCTCATGTTTTTTATGGCTGTGCAGAAAAATCCCATGAGCTATGAAGCTCTTTTTCACCTCCCCAACGCATGCCCAACCACCAACAAACGAACGATAACGCTGCACCACCGTGCCTCGCCTCCCTCGACTCGTTGCATGTCCCCTCCCGCACCGCTCCGCTCTCAATCTCTCCCGCTGCTCCTCACCGTCCTAACCCTCCTCCTTGTGCACAATCACCGCTGCTGCTCCCTACTTGCCCCCCTACTTGCCCCCCTTGCACTGGAACAAACTCCCCCTCCACATCAAGCGAGCAGCCTCCCTGTCCGGTTTCCACTCCTCCTTCAAGACCCCCGTCCTCTTCTTAACCTGGCCCCATCCTTCCCTCCATCCCCAAGCACCACCGTAATTCCGGCACCCACAAACCGCCCTCCCCATACCCCATCCCCTATTCACCGGATAACTTTCAGTTACCCTAATTGTACCACTAATAACCCTTGTAAAGCACTTTGGATGAAAGCGATATATATATGAGATAAGATAAGATAAGGAAACAAATGACAGGAGTGCAACGTGTAGGGAAAGGGTTAAGCAAATAACACTTTAAAAAATCAATGAAATATGTAAAATATACTCTTTGGTTCTTTTGGTAAAGTCACGTAGGTACATACCGAAAGAAACACAGAATATGAATTCCTGCAGTCACGAAAACTTCAGATATGTAAAATCTATTTTAAAAAATACATTGAGTACAAATCAGCATAAGTACACCAGGGCCAAATCAAGGTTCTTGTAAGGCCCAGAGGCACTTCCGTTTCCTAGGCCTTCAACGATAAATTTTCTACAGCTAGTAACTGCTGCCCCATGTTACTTACTACTGCCATTGCTACTAGTGTCAATGCGGTACTTTCATTGGTGCTTGCTCCAGTTGGTAGGGCCGGGTGAAGGTCCTTGTACGCTATAGGCACTTCTGCTTCCTAGACCTTCAGCGAAAGCTCAACAGCTGGTAACTGCTGCCCCGTGTTGCTACTACTTCCGCCGCTGTCAATCCGCTAGTGTCACACGCTACTTTCGTTCGAACTTTCTCCAGTTGAAAGGGCCGAATGAAGGTTCTTTGTAGGCCCTAAGCACTTCTGATTTGTGGGTTCTTCAGTGGTAACTCTCTACAGCTGGCAACTGCTGCCCCATGTTATGACTACTACCGCCGCTGTCACCCCGCTTGCTTCGAGCGTAGCACAACAACGACGCCCTTTGCCCTCCCTTGCACTGGTGCTCTCTATTGAAAAATTAGATTGCGCGAAGAACACTGTTTGAAGATGTCGTTGCAAATTTAGAATTTCTCTCACCTTAGAAAAAAAAGGTTGACATGACTGCCTCTTTGTAATATACACTGTTTCCTATTCTTGTGTAGTGACTTACTCGGAGACGTTAAGACTTGGAGGCACTTCCTTTATTCAACCGAGCACCCTTTGCACAATACACACCCTACAACTGGTACACAATCTTCGTCTCTCGTTTATACACAACTCTACGTGGGTCGCTAGCCTATACACAACAATAGCCGTCAAACACTGATGGCGCTGAACCGAGACGGCCAACTACCGTCTAGCAGCGCAATATCGAGTGAAGACGACAGGGACGATGGCGACGGTCTTCAACAGCACGACGGGGATCCCACTCCAAACGATAGCCCCGAGCTCTTGCTCAGGGCCCCCTTTTATGCTCCCAGCATGGCCTCGCTCTGCCCCGGCCACGCCCCCTCTCTAGAACCTACTAGCGGGTTCCCGGGCTTCCCCCACGTGTCCCTTCTGTAACCTTTACCCCAGATAACCCCTCTGGTGTATCACGTGGCCTGCTGACGTCAGGGCTGCTGTAAGCTGCAGATCCCCTTCCCCGCCAGCAGACAGCGCTATGCTGCTACATTACTAGTCTGTGTCACTACACTTGCTATATATTTAAAAAGATATTTTCAAGAAGATAGATTGGTTACATTTAGTTTTATCATACATACATACATACAAACAAAAACAACATGATCAGCGTTTTTTTTTCCGTAGGCACATTTAGTTTTCGTAGGCCCTAGGCACAGTGCCTCCTGTGGCCTATGGGATAACACGACCCTAAAGTACATCACCAATTCCTAAGCTTGGGCAAGGCAGCAAAAGTCCCACACCTGCATATGTCTGTCGGTCACCTGCATCTGTCGGTCGTCACCTGCATCCGTCGGTCACCTGAATCCGTCCGTCGGTCACCTGAATCCGTCCGTCGGTCACCTGGATTCGTCGGTCACCTGTATCCATCAGTTTTCACCTGCATCCATCGGTCATCACCTGTATCCATCGGCTTCCAAGGAGCCTCGCCACGTCGTCGAGGCAATGGACGAGCTTGAGGAATTGCGGATCGCCATCCTCGAAGCGCTCCCCGAACACGACGGAGCAGATGACGTTGGAGACGGCGGACACCAGCAGGTCGCTGACATTGAAGGCTTGCCCTGCGCGGTTGGAGCGAGGAGCGGGAGGTCATCGGTGAGAGAGGGGTCGTCGTCATCGCCACCCCACACCACACCACTCACTATTGCTAAAATAAAATAAAAACTCCTTTCCCCCCCATGTTCCGAGACGTGTGTGTGAGGAGGGGGGTGGGGGTTGTTGTGTCGGTGTGTATGTGTGGGTCCCCGTTGTGTATCGGTTAGCGCTACGAATCCGGCGACCCCGAGTTTGATTCCCGCTCGCGGTCAACACCGGTGACGATTATCTGAACTGGTCATAGGCCTCCCCTCGGTCTACTCAGCCTCAAATTAGTACCTGTTGTGCGATGTGTAAACATCGCACAACAGGTAAACATCGCCACTGGGAGGACAAAGGCGGGCAAGCGTGTTGCTGGCCATCCACCCCCTTCATGTACGTCATCGGAACGGGAAAGGATTGTGGAGGCATCGTTCCTTGCACTGCAGGAGGTGCTGCTCACCCGCGTGAGTGTGTTCATGACGTGGCGAGATGCTATCTCCCTCGCCTGGTATGCAGGCGGTCGTAGGTTCGATCATGACCCTGATGACGCCTGCTGTATATTTGGAGTCTGCGTCTCTCTCTCATCATCACCGCGGTGGCTAGGAGATGTTAACTACCTTGCCTGGTACACAGGAGGTTCGTGTGCTTGATCCCAACTCTGGCAACTCCTGTATATGTAGAGTTTGCGGTGTCTCTCTCTCTCATCATCATCACGATGGGTAGGAGATGTTAGCTCTCTTGCCTGGTATTCAGAAGGTCGTGGGTTCGATCCTGACCCTCATGACGCCTGCTGTATATTTGGAGTCTGTATGTCTCTCTCTCCGTGGTGGTCGCATGGATTTTTCTCTGGGTCCTCCGGTTTTTTCTCTCCACATTTATAATCGACGTCACGCGTTCAGAGTATTTGGCTGCCGCTACAAAGGTCCACATGATGATGAGCCACTTCAATTATGATGGCCAGGTCGGTTCTGAAGAAGGGCTACACAGCTCAGTGGGGCCTTACACCTGATAAAATTAAAACAATTTGTTTTGCTTTAAGTCTCTTCCCCCAGCCACCAGCGATCTTACACTATCCTTGCTCAATTTAAACGACATGTTTCTCTCCAAGAGAATTTTTTTGGGTTAGATCGCATAAATTTGCGTAGTTAAACCTGCCATCATGTAAACATAAACGTGGCCAATTCGCTAACTAGTTCAGAGCTAACAGCTTGTGCGTTGGAGAGTTAAACCCAACAACATATTTCTCTCTATCGACTTCAAAAGTTGCATTTTTTGCTAACCGTTTAAGCCTGTACTCAGCCACCATGATATATATTTTAAATCTACACGTAGATAGAGGGTGGACAACATGTTTTTTTTCCGGGAACGTCTGTCAGAAGACCCAGTGAAGAAAGATTTCAACTTCCACCTCCGGGAAAAGTTATCCAGCACTTCAGGGAAGGTCGCGGAAATTGAATCCCCAGTGAACGATGTTCAGGACCTCGACAGCGGATCCAACTTCGAAAAGCTGTGGCCTGAAGGCAGTTGGTGCCTGTCATGGCGGCAACCCTCGGACCCGCTGGTGGACACCGGTTGTGAGGGAAGCTGTCAAGGTGAAGAAGAAGGAGGCTTTCCGAGCAATGCTTGGAGAAAGGTCTCCCGTCTCGATTGAGAAGTACCGGCTTGCCAAGAGGGGTGGCAGCTGCAGCAGTCGCTGAATCGAAAGCCCACAGGGGGCGTGGGAGGAGTTTGCAGAGGCCATGGAGAGTGACTACCGGGCAGCCTCAAAGACGTTCTGGCGAACCATCCGACGCCTTAGAGGGGGTCGACGGGACGTGGCCCAGGTTGCTCTTAGTGAGGGTGGTGGCATGACATTGAACTCAACTAAGGAGATAGTTGAGAGGTGCAGGGAACACTTTTAGGAGCTCCTTAACCCGGTGGAAATGCCCTCCTCTCAGGAGGCAGCCCTGGGAACAGCTGGGGAGGGGGGGAGGGTCTGATCCATCGCGGCCGCTGAAGTCGCTGCGGCGGTCGAGGGCCTTCGTAGCGGCAAAGCTGCCGGGGTGGATGAGGTTCGCCCAGAGTTGTTCAAAGCGCTGGGCAGTGTAGGAGTGTCGTAGTTAACGCGCCTCTTCGATGTTGCATGGAAGGCGGGCACAGTACCTCTGGAATGGCAAACTGGGGTCGTGGTTCCCATTAAAAAAGAAAAGGGGATCAGAGGGTGTGCTCCAACTACAGAGGGATCACACTCCTCAGTGTCCCAGGTAAAGCCGATGCCAGAGTGCTGGAGAGGAGGCTCCATCATGGTCGTGGAACAATCGAGCAACTTAACACGTTAGGCTTTCGCGACCAATATCATCCATCAAACGGGTTTTATTGGGTTCGATCGCGTGAATATATAAATGTGTCGTTAAACCGGGGGACTTTTCCACAAATCTGGCTGCTGCCCGATGAAGCTAGCTGTAATTACTGGTGAAACTTCTTACTGAGATTGTAAATGTTGTGGCTTGGCTCAGGTGAAGGGACGAGACTGTCTGGTAGGACAGCGCTGGAGTGAAAAAGCCACGCTCAGATCACACAGCTTAAAGGTCGTGATCTGAGCGTAGCTTTTTCACTCCAGCGCTGTCCTACCAGACAGTCTCGTCCCTTCACCTGATGAAGGCCGCTTGTGTTGTGACCGAAACGTCGTGAGAATATTATTGTGTTATTTTATTTTATCAATTTATTATTTTATTCTCATTCTACGTGACTTTACCGAAAGAACCAAAGAAGAAGTTCCTTCAGTGATTAACAAGTCATAGCTCTAAGAAGTGAATGTAAATATCACAACTAAAGTTTAAATACATTTGCATTCATTCACATTAAAGTTACATCGCGGGATCGTCAAAAAAGGTATGTCAAGTGAAAGTTTTAAGTGAAAGCCGCCTAAAGCCGCGCTTATTCGACTTACTGAATGTCCTCAAGTACAGCAAAGCCTTGATTTAAAGCTTTCGTGACTGCAGTAATTCATATTCTTAGCTCTTTCAGTAAAGTCACGTTGAAGGGAAACAATACAAATAATAAAATATATATGAAACAATAAAAAATTATCACGACGTTTCGACCATAACACAAAACAGCAAAGCCATTTGCGTTCTCTTTTTACAGTACTCTACAATAATACTTTTCAATAATACTTTTGACGGTAAAAACACACGGGCACTACACACACATCTATTACGTACGGACATATACACACACGGTTCCAATTACATTAGTACTGTGGTTACTTTGGTGCTTGAATCCACTGCTGGATGAAGGCCCACTGCACGCTGTGTGACTTGACCAGTCTGTTGGGGAACGCCCCCCAAAACAACCTAGTCTATTAAATATTTACGTGATCTAACCCAAAAATCTGTATTATCGACACCTACTGCTATGGGGGCTATCTGCCCATTGATCGTGATGATGATGATGCACTATACACTACACTATGCACTATACTATTATTCACTACGCTATACACTCCACTACTATATATGACACTATACACTACGAAACGCCTACACTACACTATACGCAACTATACACTACGCTGCAATACACTACTATGAAGTGGAACTACTTGAGCCATAGTGGCACTACGAGACAGGCCGAGGAAAATTGGAAACAACGAATGACGGAACATGCAGTGGACACCTTACGGGGGCTATCTGCCCATGGACCGCAGTCAGTGGTGGTGGTGGTGGTGGTGACGGTGACGACGACGACGCTCATATTCGACAAGCTCGCGACTTGTACCTTTTGTGTCAGCCATGTGCTTGACGAGGAAGCCGGCCTCGGTGAAAATCTTGTCCTGGAACATCTGCTTGCCAAATCCAAAGCTCTTTAGCACGCTAAGGCTGAAGCGTTTTTTCAAAATGAAGTTGTCGCCGTGCGCCATCGTGATACCTGTTGGGGGGGGGGGGGGGGGGGGGGGGGGGGGGGACACGCGCACGTGGCTCATGTGAAACACTTGGAACGCGCAAACAACAACAACAACAGCGATGTTTACTGCACACCGCACTGAGTACTCATTTGTGGCTGAGTCGACCTAGGGGAGGCCCAGGACCGGTTCAGATAATCGTCACTGGGTGGTGTTGGCCGTGAGCGGGAATCGAACTCGGGTCGTCAGGTTCGTAGCGCAGCGTAGCGCTAACCGCTACACTACCGCTCCCCGCAATCACACAAACACACAATGACAGTCACACACACACAACAACCGCCATTCGCCACTAAGTGGCGGTGACGTCGCCAATGCGCTTGTGCCAGGCTATGTGCACCTTGAGGCCACGTGAAGTGTCGAACGCCCGCTGGCAGGAGGTGACGGGACAGACCCAGCAGGTGCCATGGGTCGACTGACTGAGATGAGTGGCCGATGTACCACCTGTGCCCCCTATTGTGCCAACTTGCAGTGTTTTAGCCGCCCGGGCGGTCCACTCGTTGTTGTGAGCATCGCTGCTCTGCCCTTCGTTGTTGTTGGAGGGCGACTGCCTCCAACTGCCCAGTAGCATCCTTCACGAGCCTCCTCCACAGAGGCCGATCTTGACACCGCCAGTACCAGTCATCGGCAAGTCCACTCAGCTCCACATCCTCCTGTACCACATCACTCCATCTCTTCTCTAGCCCGTGCCGCGTTGGTTTACCCCCTTCTATCCAGGCTCACAAAAGCTGCTTGGGCATGCGGTGGCTGAGCATGCTGGCTACATGACCCAGCCAACGCAGCCTTGCCTGCGGGAGGAGCTCACTGATGGGACTTTGTGAAGCACATCTTACAAATGACAAGCCGATGGTCAGTGGGCAGATCAGGTCCACGGTAGGTCCTGGTGTCAAGAATATGGACCCGCATCCACTGTTCCATCACTATATAGTCCAGCAGATGTTCTTGCTTGCTTGGACCCCCTTGATGGTGTGTGGAGGCGCCGATGCCAAAAGAAGTGTGTTTTTAATTACAAGCCCATGGGGATGCACAAAAGTCTAGCAGCCTCCTACCGTTGTTATTGAGCTGATCTGGCCCATACCTTCCAATCACTTCCAATCCAGGTGCCAGCATCATGACCCACTCAGGCATTAAAGTCACCCAACAGGATGACTTTATCCCAAAGGGCCACTTTAGCTCGCACCTACATCCATCTACTGATGCTCATATTCGGTGGGGCATAAGTAAACACCACCACCAAACCTCGCCTCTAGTTAATGGGAAGTCGAGCCCAAAGTAGCCTCGGGGTTACAGCTTCCCACACCTCACCGCCATGCTCCCACACCCCCTTCATTCTTTGGTTCAGAAGAAGAGCCACACCCTGTTGTTTGGCAGTCTCCTGCCCCGAGTAGAGGACTGTCCACCCCTCATGGTGGCAGGAGCCAGAGCCGGTCTACCAGACCTCCTGAATGCCACAGAGATCCATGCGGTACCGATCCGACAGAGGAGCGGCAGCCTCTCCTCCGCAGTGAGCGTTCGAACATTCCACGTGGCCACCCGCAGTGGCTTTTTGCTGTTTCTGGAGGAACCCCGTTGGGTAAAGATTCAGTCTCCTGGCTCCGCCAAACGGGGCTTCACCAGGAGATGTCATAGACGCCTGTCCTCTCCGGCCCTCCGACACAGGCTTAACTTGATATTTCTCCCGTAGTTTTGTGGTGATCAATTGAGGGGTTACTGGCCCCTCGCACCAATCCAGAGCCCCCATTTGGCCGCTGTGGTGGCTACAAGCGCCATGAGGGGAATGGCCGATTTTTGAATTGGCCTCCCCTCCATGGCATTGCTCACATCCACCACAGCGTTACTGTCCGTCACCGACCGAGGAACACATGGAATGCGAGTACACACACACACACACATGGAACGCGAGTACACGCGCACACGTGGTATGCGCGTACAAGTATGAATCGGAGGTGTGGGGGGAGGAACCATAAACTGAACACAACATGAAGCCATTCTGTTAAAAAATTAGTTTGTCAGTCTAGATGATGATTTAAAAGTTGCATAGCTCCCAGTCGATTCCTAATATTGGAAGGTAAGAGCGTTCCGAAGCGCATCTGAAACGCGCGCAATGCAGTGAGCATCTTTGTTCGATGGCTAGCCAATAGTGTAGTGATTAGTGTTGTACATAGTGTAGTATGGTGTATAGCGGAGCATATAGTGTACCGTACAGTGCAGTGCAGTGTGCAGTGTAGCGTACAGTGTAGCGTATAGTACATCTCAAAGCGTGCGATGCAGGTGACCATCTTTGTCCGACGGCTAGCCAAAAGGACCTCCTGCGTGCTAGGCGAGGTAGCCCCCCCCCCCCCCCATGCTGTCTTACCCTCATACATTTCCATGCGGTCGAAGACCGGCACATACGGGCGGAACGAGAAGTCGATGGCCTGGTGCACCAGGGCCTCCCGCACGGCTTCGAAGCCCACCAAGATCACGAACGGCGACCGGCCCAGGTAGACGGTGAACACCGGCCCGTACTCCCGGGACAGCTTAGGGAGTGTGAACAACGATGGACAGCGAATTTGTTACGACGATGCCGTGGCAAAAAAGTGGAACAGCGACGGAGAGTGAATTCACTACGTCGATGCCACGGCGAACGCAAATCAACGACGGACAGTGAATTCGTTACGACGGCGCCGTGGCGAACGTGAAACGACGATGGACGTGGAATTTGTTACGACGAGGGCCGTTACGAACGTGCAACAGCGACGGACAGCGAATTCGTTATATGGTGACGGGCAGCGAATTCGTTACGGGCAACCGCTCTGGGGAGGGGATGCGAGTGAGAACGGCCGAAGTTGGGGAAAAAAAGACACCGGCGGAGCGAGTTGAAATATTTCGTGATGGTCACGCGGCAGATAAAACTGAAGCGATTTTTTATTTTGTTTTTTTTTTACCAGGTAAGGCCCCACTGAGCTACTGTGAGTCACTGTGGGTCTCTGTGGGCCCTTACGCATCTCGATAGGTCTCTGTGGGTCTCTAGGAGTCTCTGTGCATCTCTATGGGTATCTGTGGGATTCTATGCGACTCTATGGGTCTCTGTGAGTCTTTATGGATCTCTATTGGTCTCTATTGATTTCTCTGGGTCTCTGTGGGTCTCTGTGGGTCTGTATGGGTCTCTGTGGGTCTCTGGATCTCTATGGGTCTCTGTGGGTCTCTGTGAGTCCCTGTAGGTTTCTATGCGTCTCAATGAATTTCTGTGAGTTTCTGTGAGTCTCTATGGGTCGCTGTGGATTTCTATGGGTATCTGTGGGCTTCTATGGATCTCTGTGTGTCTCTGTGGGTCTCTGTGGGTCTCTATGGATCTCTGTGGATCTCTATGTGCCTCAGTGGGTCTCTGTGGGTCTCTGTGAGTCTCTATTGGTCTCTATGGGTCTCTATGGGCCTCTGTGGGTCTTCATGGATCTCTGTGGGTCTCTGTGGGTCGCTATGGATCTCTGTGGGTCTCTGTGGGTCTCTATTGGATCTCTATGTGTCTCAGTGGGTCTCTGTGGGTCTCTGTGGGTCTCTATTGGTCTCTATGGGTCTCTATGGGTCTCTGTGGGTCTTCATGGATCTCTGTGGGTCTCTGTGGGTCTCTATGGATCTCTGTGGGTCTCTGTGGGTCTCTATTGGATCTTTGTGGGTCTCTGTGGGTCTCTATGGATCTCTGTGGGTCTCTATTGGATCTCTATGGGTCTCTGTGGGTCTCTGTGGGTCTCTGTGGGTCTCTATTGGTCTCTATGGGTCTCTATGGGTCTCTGTGGGTCTTCATGGATCTCTGTGGGTCTCTGTAGGTCTCTATGGATCTCTGTGGGTCTCTGTGGGTCTCTATTGGATCTTTGTGGGTCTCTGTGGGTCTCTATGGATCTCTGTGGGTCTCTATTGGATCTCTATGGGTCTCTGTGGGTCTCTGTGGGTCTCTATTGGATCTCTATGGGTCTCTATGGATCTCTGTGGGTCTCTGTGGGTCTCTATTGGTTCTCTATGGGTCTCAATGTGTCTCTGTGGGTCTCTGTGGGTCTTCATGGGTCTCTGTGGGTCTCTGTGGGTCTCTGTGGGTCTCTGTGGATCTCTGTGGGTCTCTATGGATCTCTGTGGGTCTCTGTGGGTCTCTGTGGGTCTCTGTGGGTCTCTATTGGATGTCTATAGGTCTCTATGGATCTCTGTGGGTCTCTGTGGGTCTCTGTGGGTCTCTATTGGATCTCTATGGGTCTCTATGGATCTCTATGGGTCTCTGTGGGTCTCTATGGATCTCTGTGGGTCTCTGTGGGTCTCTATGGATCTCTGTGGGTCTCTGTCGGTCTCTATGGGTCTCTGTGGGTCTCTATGGGTCTCTGTGGGTCTCTGTGGATCTCTGTGTGTCTCTATTGGTCTCTGTGGGTCTCTATGGATCTCTATGGGTCTCTGTGGGTCTCTATGGATCTCTGTGGGTCTCTGTGGGTCTCTATGGATCTCTGTGGGTCTCTGTGGGTCTCTGTGGGTCTCTATTGGATCTGTGTGTCTCTGTGGGTCTCTATGGGTCTCTGTGGGTCTCTATTGGATCTCTATGGGTCTCTATTGGATCTCTATGGGTCTCTGTGGGTCTCTATGGGTCTCTGTGGGTCTCTATGGATCTCTGTGGGTCTCTATTGGATCTGTGTGTCTCTGTGGGTCTCTATGGGTCTCTGTGGGTCTCTATTGGTTCTCTATGGGTCTCCGTGGGTCTCTATGGATCTCTGTGGGTCTCTATTGGATCTCTATTGGATCTCTGTGGGTCTCTGTGGGTCTCTGTGGGTCTCTGTGGGTCTCTATGGATCTCTGTGGGTCTCTGTGGGTCTCTGTGGGTCTCTGTGGGTCTCTGTGGGTCTCAATGGGTCTCTATGGATCTCTGTGGGTCTCTGTGGGTCTCTGTGGGTCTCCGTGCTCCACAACCTTCACGAAGTCGTCGTAGGGCGCTCGGTGGTCAATCCGGAGGAGGTTCCCGACGAACGGCCACGCGCGGGGCCCGGGCGGGAGGAGGCCCCGGCGGCTGTCGGCCCCGCGGGCCCACCGGGACGCGGCGCCCACCAGCAGGAGGAGGGCGGCGGCGGCGGCAATCGGCAACGTCGGGGGCCCCCACGCGGACGCCACAGCCGGGGGCGAGGCGGGAAGGGCGCTCGACGAGGACATGACGGGGCGCCGACTGGGCGGTGGTGGTGGTGGTGGTGGCGGCGGTGGCGCCGGTGGCGGCGGTGGTGGCGGTGGCGACGGTGGCGGTGGGCTGCAGAGGGACAGAGAGGTCCACCGCGTGGTGGGAAGAAGTGGTGAAGGGGAGGAGACGGATTTAAAAATCTGTGTAAGTAAAAAAAATCAAGGAAAGGCGCATTTTGGAAAGAGGGTAAACGTTCTAATCGCTCGAAGATGTATTGTGCGTGCGTGCTCGCTCGTGGTCACTTCATAGGTGCTCGCGAACAGCACTTGCCCCAACAGTCTGTTGAAGGTTATCCGGTGGAGGGGGGGGGTCTTTGTTTTTGTGTCTGGAACATCTTCGCCAGTTAGACACTTAGGCTGGCCTGCTTGTCGATCCATCCTGGGTTTAACCTGCGGGCTGGATTGTGTGAGGAGCTCACAAATCCTTGAAAGATCTGGACAAAGTGCCAACGGTGAGCTCCTCTGGCAGGCAAGGCTGCGTTGGCTGGGTCATGTAGCCCGCATGCCCAGCCACCGCATGCCGAAACAGCTTTTGCTCGGCCGGATTGAGGGGGCTAAGCGGGCGCGGTACGGGCTAGAGAAGAGATGGAGTGATGTGGTACAGGAGGACGTGGAGCTGAGTGGACTTGCCGATGACTGGTACCGGCGGTTGTCAAGATCGGCCTCTGTGGAGGAGGCTCGTGAAGGATGCTACTGGGCAGTTGGAGGCAGTCGCCCTCCAACAACAACGGAGGGCGGAGGTGCGACGCTCACAACAACGAGCGGAGCGCCGGACGGCTAAAATACAGCAAGATGGCACAGTAGGGGGGTACAGGTGGTGCATCTACCAGTCATCTGAGCCAACCCATGGCACCTGGGTCTGTCCCGTGACCTCCTGCCAGCGGGCGTTCGACACTCCACGTGGCCTCAAAGTTCACCTAGCCTGGCACAGGCGCCGTGGTTACATCACCGTCACGAAGTGGCGAATGGCGGTTGTATTGGTGGTTGCCTGATGATGGTGTTGGTATGTATGTACTACGTTGAACTTCATTATGGGACCTCCTTTGCCAGTACCAATTTCCCCTTAATTCTGGCAACAAAACAGGTTTTGGCGTCGTCTGGTCTAACATCGTTTGGGACGAGGCTCAAAACAAAGCCGTCTCTGGTGTGGACCAATCACTTTCAAAGACAATGCCACATATATTATCAGAGTATGTTTTTTGTTTGCATTCCGACCGGCGAGGGGGGGAGAGGGAGTTTACACATGTTCACCGCCTCTACACCGTTCATCATGCTAAGTCCGCCAATTAAATGCAAATTTTGATGCTAATTCCTTTGTCAAGGCGCTCTGTTTCCTCTCACACAGCTTAAAGGCCGCGGTCTGAGCTTGGCTGTGTTCACTCCAGCGCTGTTCTCGAGACAGTCTCGTCCCTTCACCTGATGGAGGCCACTTGTGTTGTGGCCGAAACGTCGTGAGAATTTTATTGTGTTATTTTATTAATTTATTAATTTATTCCCATTCTACGTGGTGACTTTACTGAAAGAACCAAAGAACACGGCTGTTTTGTTGCCAGAAAAAAAGGGGGAAAGCCTATTCTCGCATGTTGAACTTCTTTCGCACCGTACGTAGCCAACCGTTGCTAATCGGAGGTGCGGGGGAAGGATAACAAACTGAACACAATGACAACAACAACAGGAAGCAGTTCCAAAATAAGATACTCTAAACACGTGACGTTTAGTCTACGTGAGGAGGGGAAAACCGGAGGACTCGGAGAAAAGTCACGTGACCACACAGAGAGAGAGAGAGACACGCAGACTCCAAATACATAGAGCAAGCGTCAGGGTAGGGATCGAACTCACAACCTCCTGTATACCAGGCGAGGTAGTTAACATTTCACCACCGTGATTATGATGATGAGAGAGAGAGAGACACGCAGACTCCACATATATAGCAAGCGTCAGGGTAGGGATCGAACTCACGACCTCCTGCATACCTGGCGAGGTAGTTAACATTTCACCACCATGATGATGATGAGAGAGAGAGAGACACGCAGACTCCACATATATAGAGCAGGCGTCAGGGTAGGGATTGAACTCACGACCTCCTGCATACCAGGCGAGGTAGTTAACATTTCACCACCGTATTGATGATGATGAGAGAGAGACACGCAGACTCCACATATATAGAGCAAGCGTCAGGGTAGGGATCGAACTCACGACCTCTTGCATACCAGGCGAGGTAGTTAACATTTCACCACCATGCTGATGATGAGAGAGACACGCAAACTCCGCATATATAGAGCAAGCGTCAGGGTAGGGATTGAACTCACGACCTCCTGCATACCAGGCGAGGTAGTTAACATTTCACCACCGTGATGATGATGATGATGAGAGAGAGACACGCAGACTCCACATATATAGAGCAAGAGTCAGGGTAGGGATCGAACTCACGACCTCCTGCATACCAGGCGAGGTAGTTAACATTTCACCACCATGCTGATGATGAGAGAGACACGCAAACTCCGCATATATAGAGCAAGCGTTAGGGTAGGGATCGAACTCACGACCTCCTGCATACCAGGCGAGGTAGTTAACATTTCACCACCGTGATGATGATGATGATGAGAGAGAGAGACACGCAGACTCCACATATATAGAGCAAGCGTCGGGGTAGGGATGGAACTCACGACCTCCTGCATACCAAGCGAGGTAGTTAACATTTCACCACCGTAATGATGATGATGAGAGAGAGACACGCAGACTCCACATATATAGAGCAAGCGTCAGGGTAGGGATCGAACTCACGACCTCCTGCACACCAGGCGAGGTAGTTAACATTTCACCACCGTGATGATGATGATGAGAGAGAGACACGCAGACTCCACATATATAAGCAAGCGTCAGGGTAAGGATCGAACTCACGACCTCCTGCATACCAGGCGAGGTAGTTAACATTTCACCACCGTGATGATGATGATGATGAGAGAGAGACACGCAGACTCCACATATATAGAGCAAGCGTCAGGGTAGGGATCGAACTCACGACCTCCTGCATACCAGGCGAGGTAGTTAACATTTCACCACCGTGATGATGGTGATGATGATGAGAGACACGCAGACTCCACATATATAGAGCAAGCGTCAGGGTAGGGATCGAACTCACGACCTCCTGCATACCTGGCGAGGTAGTTAACATTTCACCACCGTGATGATGGTGATGATGATGAGAGACACGCAGACTCCACACATATAGAGCAAACGTCAGGGTAGGGATCGAACTCACGACTTCCTGCATACCAGGCGAGGTAGTTAACATTTCACCACCGTGATGATAATGGTGATGAGAGAGAGAGACACGCAAACTCCAAATATACAGCAAGCGTCAGGGTCGGGATCGAACCCACGACATCCTGCATGCCAGGATGTCGTGGGTTCGATGGTGATGATGAGAGAGACACCGCCAACTCCAAATATTATTCCAATAACTTATCGCGACAAAATGTACAAACCCCCCCCCCCAACCCACCCACCCCATCCAGACAGGCAAATAGCTGAATAAGCAATCACCATTACAGCAGTGGATGGGTTGTGCCCACCGGTAGCCAGGCACGGCCCAATTTCAATGACCCAAATGTATGTGTGTGGGTGTTTGTGCTTTGTTTTTTCTCCCCCCCCCCCCCAATCAAAAATTGCGGCTCATTTTGTATTGCGACACAGTGGCCCGAGCCAAAAACCCTCACCTTGATCCTCTGCGGCTCCCCAAGCGGCTGAGCTCCTCCGCTCCCCTTTTAGCGCAAGGCAGCGATTTGTTCAGGGGCCAAAGATGGCCCGGTTCGAGAGGTCTGGCTGGCCACGAGAGAGTGAGAGAGAGAGAGAAAGAGCCAGCCAGAGAGCGATAAGCAGTTTTATTGGAGCGGTTATCGATGGGTAAATGTTGACAAGGGGAGGGCAATGGCAAAGTGGGCAGGTGGAATTAAACATTGACCGATTCTAGACTGGGGAAATTCTTCCGAAATAAATGTGGTCCGACCTCATTAATTCTGGGTCACTGAGAATTTAAAATGATGCTTAAAATTAATTTGGAGCTTTCGTGACTGCAGGAATCCACACTCTTTGGTTATTTGGGCAAAGTCACGTGGGTGGAAAAATTTAATGGAGTGAAAAATATGATATATCACGACGTTTCGATCGCAACACAATCGGTCGTCTTCAGGCAGAAAAAAATAGTACAGCAGTTCTACTGCTGTACCAGACACCCATAGACTCACCACACAGAGATCACTCGCAGTGGACGTGAGTTCAGGATCCATACTCTTTGGTTCTATTCGGTAAAGTCACGTAGGTAAAAAAAAATAAAACAACAAAAATCACGACGTTTCGGGCCACAACACAAGCGGCCTTCATCAGGTGAAGGGACCAAACTGTCCAGCGGACAGCGTTGGAGTGAAGAAAGCCAAGCGCTGGTCGCCTCCTTTTAAGCTGTGAGGGGTTAAACAGTAAACGCCTTGACAAAGGAAATGAGCATAAAACGTACTTCTGACAGAGCTTGGAATTAGCATAGGATGATAATACACCACCTTGGAAGTTTGGAGTGCCACTACTAGAATAAATATACTGTACCATTGAAAATTAGTTTAATGTTTGGTTCGATTTAGAACATCTTTCCAATGGTTGCTTAATTTGAAACCATCTTCTCGGTTGAAATTGTGTCCGTGTTTGTAAATCTGAATTGCCTCGTGAACAAATCTCTGATAAAAAAAACCCGTGGGTTTGCCAAGGACCTTGGTATCGGAGAAAATTATATCGTGATCACCCACAGCGTTGTAACAATGATCAGCTACGGCAGAAGAATTCGTTCTGCCGTGTAGTAGTGGCACTCCAAACTTCCAAGGTGGTGCATTATCATCTTATGCTAATTCCAAGCTCTGTCAGAAGTACGTTTTATGCTAATTTCCTTTGTCAAGGCGTTTACTGTTTATCCCCTCACAGCTTAAAAGGAGGCGACCGGCGCTTGGCTTTCTTCACTCCAACGCTGTCCACTGGACAGTTTGGTCCCTTCACCTGATGAAGGCCGCTTGTGTTGTGGCCGAAACGTCGTGATTTTTGTTGTTTTATTTTTTACCTACATGACTTTACCGAATAGAACCAAAGAGTATGGATCCTTGCAGTCACGGAAGCTTCAAATCTAGAGTTCAGGATGTGTTCACCATTCAAGTCCGCTCGTCCAGGCGAGTAGAATTCAACCGCATTAATCAGATATTTTTTTTACAATTCCTGAATAACAAAAATTCAGGACCTACTTAATGATGCTGGTTCAGCAATTCCACTGCTGGATTATTTTTTAAAAATTATGTTTTACTCTTTGGTTCTTTCTGTAAAGTCACGTAGAAAATAAAATAATAGAATGCGACATTTCGGTTGCAACACCAACAGCCATAATCGGGTAAGAATGAATGATTAAACACACGCACGGAAACAACACGGGCATACACACATGCAGAGACACCGCGTGTGTCTGCCTATGCCTCGCTCGGTGTGTCTCTGCATGTGTGTCTGCCTATGTTATTCTTGGTTCTTTCGGTAAAGTCACCACGTAGAAGGGAAACAATAAAATAATAAAAATATAAAACAATACATTTCTCACGACGTTTCGACTGCAACACAAGCAATCATCATCAGGTGTGAAAACCACAACAAGAAAATTTGGAAAAAAAATGTTTTTTTCAAAAATTATTTTTTTTTCACATTTTCTTGCTGTGGTTTTCACACCTGATGATGATTGCTCGTGTTCCAGTCGAAACGTCGTGAGAATTTCATTGTTTTATATTTCTATTAATTTATTGTTTCCCTTCTACGCGGTGGTGACTTTACCGAAAGAACCAAGAATATGAATCCCTGCAGTCACGAAAGCTTTAAATCAAAACTTCTGCCCACGTTGTTTCCGTGCGTGTGTTTTTTTAGCATTCATTCTTACCTGACGATGGCTGCTTGTGTTGCAACCGAAACGTCGCATTCTATTATCTGATTTGATTTTCCTACGTGACTTTACCGAAAGAACAAAACAGCAAGCTTAAAATTCTTCTTAGATACGACGCATTTGGCAGTGCGCTGCGTGGCAAGGAAACAGGCGGCGTGGAACGCCTTCCGGTCAGTGCCAACACATTTCCTCGGAAACAACAAGGCAGACGACTACAGGGAGTTGGTGGAGGTCCTCCTAGAGGCATACAAAAGCCTTGGTTGCAACGTGTCACTGAAGACACAATTTTTTTGCACTCTCTCATCTCGATTTTTTTCTTTTTCCGCCACCGAATTACGGAGCAGTGAGCGATCAGCACGGCGAGCGATTTCACCCGGGACGTTGCGACGACGGAGAAACGCTGTCGGGGCCAATGGAGCCCATCAATGCTTGCAGGCTATTGCTGGACAGTGACGAGACATTGCTCCATTTAGTAGTGGTAGGAACCCCCTGGTTACTACACTACACCAGCCCACAGGGGATTATTGTTGTGCCCGTCCGTCCGTCGTGCATCCAAACATGGGAGAGGTGGGGCTGGGTGGAGAGGGGAGGGTGGGGAAGGGCTGGGTGGGGAGGGTGGGGCTGGGTTGGGGGGTGGGAGGGGTGGGGTTGGGTGGGGAGGGGCTGGTCACCCCGTGGTGCCCTTATAAAACTCAACGTTTAACCTACTCACGCCGGCTTGTGCCCGCCCTCACAGTCGGGCATATTGTGCGGAATGCACCACGTGGTGGTGCCGCCCTTGTTGACCCTGGCCATTGACCGAGCAACCCAACGTTCCTACCCGCTCCCTCCCTCCGCAGGAGAATGTGTTTAATGCATGAGACAAGCCAAGAAGCCCCGAGTAGACACTGAATGAGGACTAAACTACGTACTTAAATGTACATAATCGTTTTTAGCCTTTTTTCCCGTAACAATTTTACTTATATGACCCTTTTGCTGATTTTTTTTTAAGTGTTACATGAATAGGACAGGTGACATGTTATCATGTAAAGCAACCATGAACACATCAAAAGTCCTAGGTTTACAATTATATGGACGTTAAATGTTTAAAAAAACCTTCAATATCTTGGGAACAGTAACTAAGCAGTTGTTTCATTTGTCATATTTGAATTCAGCACATCAAAATCCATAATGAACAGCACATTTGATCTCCGAAGCTGACGACGTCCAAAAAAAAAATGTGTTGACCAGTGAATAATATTTTATCAATGCAAGGTGCTCGCCGATATTTCCCCCGGCATCAATGGATGTTGTTTTTTTTTTAAATAAAAAAAACATTTTACAAATCTCATGCGCGATTTAACAGGGCAAATGCAATGCTGTTTGGTGAGCCCTTTCGGCCGCTGAAACCGCTCTTTTTCAGAAGCTACGTGGCCATCACAAATGATGTTTCAAAGAAAGTGGCGTGTCATCATCATCATCACGTGAGCATTTCTATCAGCAGCAAAATACAATACCAGATGAGACCCACTGAGCGGCCAGGTAGCACTTTTTATCATTATTATTATTATTTTACACGCTTTTATTTAACTCACTCTGTGTGTTGTTTTGATTTAAAACTTTCGTGGCTGCAGGGATTCATATTCTTGGTTCTTTCGGTAAAGTCACGTAGGTAGGGAAACAATAAAATAATAAAAATATAAGACGATAAAATTCTCACGACGTTTATTGTTTTTTTACTTTTATTATTTTATTGTTTCCCTTCTACGTGACTTTACCTAAAGAACTGTCTGTTGTTGTTGTTGTCGTTGTATCGTCAAATTTTGTAACTCGATTGTAACCCACTTCCCAATGTGGTATCGACTGTAAACTCGGCATACTGATGTCACACTGATGACAGTACGAAATTCTATCATTAAAAATAATAAAATATGTTTTAACAATCTTTTTACACGCTTTCAATTAACTCACTCTGTCTGTTGTTGTTGTTGTATCCTCTAATCTTGTAACTCGATTGTAACCCACTTCCCAATGTGGTATCGACTGCAAACTTGGTATACTTAGGTCATACTGATGACAATAATATATTCTATCATAAAAAAATAATTAATTAATTTGTCGATCTTTTTACACGCTTTCTATTAACTCTGTCTGTTGTTGTATCCTCAAATCTTGTAACTCAATTGTAACCCACTTCCCAATGTGGTATCGACTGCAACACTTGGTACACTGATGTCATACTGATGACAATACGATATTCTATCATAAAAAAATGTTGTAAACATAAATTTTTACACGTTATGTTTCGGCTTGGGTCTAATTGTCCACGCTCAACTGACGTTAGCTGTAAATCACCACGGCCCCCTTACGTTGTGGGCAAGTTTCGGGGCCACTTCCTGGAGTCGTGCGGTTCTGCCATTACGCGTAGGGTACATTCAATGAAAGCGTGCTTTAAAAAAAAAAAGTATTTTTAAATATTACTTTGTCAGAAGCGACCTTCACCAGAGACGATAGCTCAACACAGTGGCTTATCGCGTGGACATGTGACAGCGGCGAAACAACTTCTCAAACGCATTGTTCCACACACGTGGAGAGAAAACGCCGGAGAACCCGGAGACAAATCCACGCGACCACAGGTATGAACTTGCCATCAGCCCCCTCCAAAAACACATTCTCCTGCGGAGGGAGGGAGCTGGTAGGAACGTTGGGTTGCTCGGTCAATGGCCAGGGTCAACAGCGGCACCACGTGGTGCATTCCGCACAACATGCCCGACTGTGAGGGCGGGCACAAGCCGGCGTGAGTAGGTTAAACGTTGAGTTTTATAAGGGCACCACGGGGTGACCAGCCCCTCCCCACCCTCCCCTCTCCAACCAGCCCCACCCCTCCCAT